CTGGAGGGGTCTAGTGGAGGAGCCAAACATCCCTGCAGAGACTAATACACAGCTGTTGACTGACCATGAATGCACAGTTGCCGGGGCACCATGGTAGCTCACCTGGTACCTTGCTGCAGCAGCCATGGGTTTGACTCTGGCCTGTGGCCCTTTGCTGTGTGTCATCCCCTCTCTTTCTCCTACTTTCCTGTCTATCTTTAGGTGTCCTGTTGAATAAAGGCAAAATGTCCTACATAATTGCCACCATGGCAAATGTAACCCTTACAGTTCTTTTGCTTGTACAGTGATATTATAAATTGCGTCTGTGAGCAGGTGCATGTGTGCCCACTGCCCACATAAAGCCCATTTACCAAATATAGCTCATAATCTGGGTAGATTTTATGCTGGAATATACGACAGATGTCGATTAGCCTAGCATTAATGGAGCCCACCTAGTGAGTAATGGCCTCCATCTATCAGTGTATTTCAACATTTTAAACTCAGGGTAGCACCACAGCTGAGACACACACACCATTGCTCTGTCACATACTGAATTATGCATGTGCTCATGGTGTTCAATCAGGGCTCTGGAGAGACAGAGATGGGTGTTAGAGAGACAGGAAGTGAAGAATCAGGGATGAGACGAGGCAGAAAGCAGCAGGTTGTGTGTGTGTGTGTGTGTGTGTGTGTGTGTGTGTGTGTGTGTGTGTGTGTGTGTGTGTGTGTGTGTGTGTGTGTGTGTGTGTGTGTGGGACTTAAAAGAAAGATTCAGAGACAAAAAAAGGAGGGGGCTCCCTCTGTTGTGGTCTCTGCTTGTTATGTTGATATGCTGGGTTAAAAAAAATTAAAGGTCATGGAAAACAAACAAATCACATGGTTGAAAACACATTGTCAAACCTAACCCCCAGTGACATTTGCAGATAGTGGGGAAGGACAGCCTGAGCATTTGGCCAGCCATTACATTTCCTCAGAGACAGATCAGACAGTGGTAGTAACAAACCAATGTGAGCCATCTTTAATTGCCTGCCTCCAGCTCCGGGTGACAGAATAAGCAATTTTAAAGCATGTGTGTGTCTATTTGTTTTTGTTCAGATGTATGTGTGTGCCCCTGTCACAAAGGCTAAGTACTGATCTGAAGGGTTATGGAGATTAAGACCTGAACCCCATAACGAATTGGAATTAATCAGAGCTGGGGATTGGGGCCGGAGGATAATCTCACTGTTTAGATTGGCTGTTCTTCCTAAACATCAAAGACATGCTGCCCAATATGACAGAATCATACTGACAGATAAACCAAAAGCTTCTCTCTTCATCAGCAGAGTGTGGTGCACGCGGGAGGGACTGCTGATGATGATGATGATGATGATGATGATGATGCTGACATAACGTCCCCAACCCTACTGATGCAAGCAAAAATCAAATACAATGTGAAATACACTGTCTATGAAATTCTCCGTCGCACCTCTCTATCTCTGTCATTTAAATATACACGCACACTCTCAGAGGGCAATTGGGTGTGTGTCCTATCCATCCCATGTCAGCAAGATTACTTCCTCTGGGCAATGATGTAACGTAACAAGGGCCGACACTATCCCTGCACTGTGCTTTCTTGTTTGTGAAGTGAGCAGTCAGGCCCCTTTGCTGTTGTTTGTGAACACATGTGGGAGGGAGAGAGGAGAAAAGGGGCACTGATGCACGGTTTAATTCTGTATGACCTCTCTGGCACAAGAAAAAAAAACATCCACTCTCTATGGTCTCCTCACATGCTACGCCAAAACAGCCTTGTAACAGAAAGGCTTTGCTAGCTATCCATAATGTGTTTTGTTGGTGGATTAAAGTGGAGGAATCAAAATATCTAGCACAGATTTATGCCGAGAGCTTAACCCTCAGAACCAACCATCCCAGAGCTAAATCCCCATTCCCAGTCATCTCGGCAGAGAAGAGAGAGAGAGGGAGAAAGTGAAGGAAGGAAAGCTTTAATGGGGGAACAGGAGCAGAGAGGTATCAGAGAACAAGGGAGGAGGAAACCCGAGCTCCGTCTCTGAGCAACGCTCTGCATAGCAGGGAGGGAAGGGAAGACACATGGGAGGGAGGGAGGGAGGGAGGGAAGAAGGTTGTCTCTGCATAGCAGCAAACTGCACTGGGTCACCCACCCTCTGCTGCAGCCGTGGCTCCACGCCACCAGCATAAAACATTTACATCCCACAGGATGGCGAGAGAGAGAAACCCAGGAAGAGAGACAGAAAGGATGTGAGATATTGGTTCTTAGAAACTGTATAATTAAGGTCTAAGCTGGTCGGACATGTGGGATGATACAGCTAATGACTCAATTATTTGCATATACTTCACAACAGAGTAACTTGAATAGGATGCTTAGTGGAAGAGCTACTTAGAATTTCTATTACATGTCGAAGAGTTCAATGAATGTCTGCTGTTTGCTCAAATCCAGTATGAATGATGGTCATCTGTATGATGATCAGGAGGATCATTAATAATGCTTCACTCTGTTCACCAAAGCGTTGCCTATTTCTCATTTTGTCCCTGGTATTATAATATGGACATCTGAGGCTTGTGGTTATTACTGTAATGACTGCAATGCTGATAAGCTAGGTAGCCTGTAGATAAAAACCCAGAGCTGCAGAGATGCTTACATAAGATAGCCATATGCAAATAAGCAGATTTCAAGACTAAATCGCTATACGAACCAGGTCAGTCTCTGTCTTAATACCTTAAATACTTCAGTTGTTTCAACTAATTTCTTACTATAGCTTGCTTGAAGTGAGATGGTTCTCTCTTGTCACTCAGTTTGCTATTTTACCTGCAGATTGTCATTTATGAACTACAATAAGCTGTAAGCCAAAGCGACCATAGAGGAACAACAACAGACAGCTGCTTTGTCTATGAAATTATTAGAAAATTAGATTAGATGGATAGATTATAAAAATATAGATAATATATAGAAGAAAAATATACATAATTCCAAAAGTTATACAATAGTCAAAGTTTGCATGTCGCTGTTGTATGTATTTTCACATATTCGAGACACAAAGCACAAAAGATGCAAGGAAATGTCAAATTTCACTAAAAGAAGCAACATAAAAACAAAGGATGGCCTCACCTTCTCATATGGATCAGAGTCATAGTTGAGTCCAATCCCACAGTCATCTGTGATTTCAGAGAGGTCTTCATCATCGAACTCCTCCAGGCTGATGTCGTGGGCTGGCCTGGAAAAACATGAGAGATGGATGTTGTTAGGAAGAGCACTCATCTCTGAAATATGCCTGTTTCATCATCAGTGACAGTCAAGGGGGGACTTTCTCATTGATTTATGCCAACACACTGAGGCCTGTTCTTGGGGAAACCTGCTCTAACTCATGGCCTGTCACGGTCTATCTGGATCTCAGTCTTACTGTATATACTGGACACATGCAGACACAAACACCCACATCCTCTGTCTTCTCTTCCCTTATAACAGTCCACACTAACAAGGTGTGACACATTTCAGTGGTATGGAATAACAACAGCAACACATAAAGAACTGAGATAAAATGCCAACATTTCAAATATATTTTATTCATGAGCTTTGGATGTTATAAGCAGAGTCAGGGGTGAGTTATTGGCAGTTGCCTGTTACACCAAAGTTTCTGAACTTCTATTTACATCAACAGCACACTACAGCAGGGGAGCGTATATGTCTGCAATGAGCCGTGGCATTACAAGTTCTCTTGATTAGGCTCTATCTCATCTTTGCCCCATTAGTTTCAGCAGGCTCTCACTTGTATAGCAGTTGGCTTGCAATGTGGAAATACTGCATTGCAGTTTTCATACTAAGAAAAGGACACTCCACATATTACGTATGGATGCGAGCTTACATAACACAGTCATATAGGGTCCTGTCTACACAATGTCATTGGTCCCATGGAGCAAATAAGGACATGCTGATGCATCTAAAAGTAAAACAAAAAGGGTTCATGAAAAAGTCATTTTAATGAGTGTCAATGTACAACCAGTGCTACTGATAGAATACTGGGAAAACTGAAAGCTAATCATGGCTTTGATGTTACAGAGTAAATTGAGGCTATGGCTAAGATTTATTTAAAATGATTGTTGCCTGTTACAGTAGCCATTGCTCTATATAGTTCAATGCACAAAGAATATAATAATTTAATGGGCATAAATAAATTTGGATTTTAACTGTATGTCTGTACACTATAAAATGTGTAAAACTGTATGATGGTTTAAAAAACAAGGACTCAAAACTTCCAACCATTAATCCAATTTTATCAGTGGAAAAAATGTAAACAATATTAAAAGTTATGATAAGCTGAGCCGCATTGAAGGTTTTGATAAAATTGTGTAGTTAAGGTGCTACTGATACTGAAGCCTAGATATAACACATCCATTTTCCATTTGCGGAAAATTACAGTTGGAGACCAACTATTAATCTTGACCTTGCTGTTGATATGTATATCTAATCGGATAAAAATTTACTAAAGCTGCATCTTGAGGATTTCCAACAAAATGCAGACAGTTTTGGGGAAAAACAACAGAAAACCTAAATACAATTCATAATCCATACTCAAAGCCATAGCTCTGTAGTCTGCATCAATTTCTTAAAACATAAGGAAAAAATATATTTTTCATGTAGAAGAAGCAATATGTATCTGTGTTTATGGTCATGTTCAATTAAAAAGGACTAAGTCTTCAAGTAAAGTGCCAAATTTAACAACCTAGATGAGTTATTCAGTGTCACCAGATATATCCATCGGATATACCCAACTGTATAACTTCCTATTATATCATTGTTTCATAATATGTTATGAGGTTTTTGACTATGTTTGCAGACTGTGGCTATTACACGTGGTGTATATTGAATTAATGATAGATGTGCAAATTAAGTATGTACCTTCTAAGAACAACACTCTAAGGGTCACCCTGTCTGAAGTGATATGACTGTATTTTTGATAACAGTCTGGCTGATATGAGCCTAAACATGTGTATATAAAGCCTGTTCAGATGCAAGCTGAGTTGTATCCATCCAGGAGGGCTGTGTGTACAGGAGGGATCATGAAGTGTCTTGTTGCTGTTTTGGTCTGTGTGGTGCTCGCAGAGGGATTCAAGTAAGAAAACTACCTCTTTGTAACTCTCAGTTCTTTTTATACGATAGCAAATTTGTACTTTTGGCTTTACAACTACACTTTCAAAGCCATGGGAAGTAAAAAATTCATTGTTCTTTTTCTTCCTCCTTCCTCAGGGTCCCTCTGACGAAGCACAAGTCTATGCGTGAGGCCCTGAGAGAGAAGGGGATTGAGCTGCCTTACCAGGATCCAGCTCTGAAATACTACCCCAATGAGTTCGCCACCACTGCCGGCATGTACATCAATAACTATGCTGATGTAAGAAATCCTATATTAACACTACTCTTACTGCTATACACAACAGCATGTAAGCATTAATTGATGGGTTTGTACTTTCTTTATTATTTTCCTCTTTTTCTTTACCTCCAACCAATGTTTCCCAGACCACCTACTATGGACCCATCAGCATTGGAACACCCCCCCAGTCCTTCCAGGTGCTGTTTGACACCGGCTCTGCCAACCTGTGGGTGGACTCCGTCTACTGTAACACTCAGGCCTGCAGTGAGTACAAACCAACAGGCTTTACACTACAAAATCCCTCATCTGTTGCTTTCTTCAGACTTAAACCTAATGTAAGCTAAGCATGCAGAGCTAGCAGTTTGTCATCTTGTTTCCAAGAGATTATATATTGTACATACATGGGATTTAAATTTCTAGTGTAATTACAGGCTTGCCACTAGGCATTTTGAGTCTTCGGGATACATCAGCTAGTGGGTCAATTAAAATTCAGCTCATGATTTCTATAATCAGGTGAATTATCAGCATGTCAAATGGCTCTGCAAGGAATAAAGACATGTTTATAGAAATGGCTCCAGAGATAATCCCAATCTATGCTATTTGCAGACACACACAAAAAGTTCAATCCCCAGCAGTCCTCCACCTTCAGTGCCAAAGGACAGACCTTCTACCTGCCCTACGGAGCTGGAAGCCTCTATGGAACCTTTGGATATGACACTGTCACTGTGAGTCAGATACACCAAATAACCCAAATATATCAGCTAAATAAAATACTAGTGTTCGAGTCTGAACTGAGTCATAGGTACTGAGACAGAGTACATTTTCCGTATGACCTCAACAAGTGATGTCTCAGTAAAAACATCCCTGTTTTATGTGTATGAGGTGTTGAATTTGTGAAGATAAAAGGAAACATTTTTTTATACAAAAGATATGTCCAATGTTACAATAATTTAGAGTTAGTATAATTTAAATTTTTTGAAACTGTGATAGAATCAGCAGAAGAGGTCTACAGCATTCATTTACTGACATTGCTGGCATCACTTACTCATCATATTGGTTGGTTTTGGACTCATAGGTTGCCGGCATTGTGATCCCTAACCAAGAGATTGGTCTGAGCACAAACGAGCCTGGTCAGAACTTTGTTGTGGCCAAGTTTGACGGCATCCTAGGCCTGTCCTACCCAAGCATCTCAGCTGGAGGAGAGACTCCCGTCATGGACAGCATGATATCTCAAAACCTTCTAAGTGCCAACATCTTCGCTTTCTATCTTTCCAGGTATAACTGACATAAGACTTCTATTTAGTACTGTAAAACATAAATTTAGGACATACTGCATCAGATGTTACTGTATATCCACACTACTGACTCTAAACATATTTTCTAACGTGGGGAGCTTGCAGCTAAGTTTTGGTTTGTTGGCTTGTTTAGGAATGGACAGCAGGGCAGTGTGCTGACTTTTGGAGAAGTGGACAACAGCTTGTACCAGGGGCAGATCTACTGGACGCCTGTCACCTCTGAGACCTACTGGCAGATTGGCGTTGAAGGGTGTGCGCTTTTTATCAACATGAAATGTCAAATGATTACTATTGAGTATTGCAGCCTACATTAGCGATTATTTTGTGTCCTAATATTGCATCAAGCAAAACTAACTTTTGGCATGTGTGGTTGCTTTCAGATTCCAGATCAATGGTCAAGACACCGGCTTGTGCTCTCAGGGCTGCCAGTCCGTTGTTGATACTGGAACCTCCTCACTGACCGCCCCACAACAGATTCTGGGTACCATCATGCAAGCCATTGGAGCCCAACAGAGCCAGTATGGAGCGGTAAGACAGACAGACAGACAAACAGACAGACAGACAGACAATCTCTCACACACAGATCTGCTGCTCAGCAGTATGGAAGTAGGCCACCATTGTTATTCCTCATAAAGATCCAACTCTGTCCATAGGCTGCATCATTTAATAGTCATTATGAGCAAGGTCACAAAACATGTACCTGTATATCAAAAGCAGGAATGTAATGGAACGATGTACAAACTGGACCAGTTTGTTTTGAGTTTCTGTCCCTCTAAGGCAGTGTCTCTTTATTGTCTTGATCTCCAGTATATGGTGGACTGCAGCCAGGTTAACAACTTGCCAACTCTCAGCTTTGTTATCAGCGGTGTTGCCCTCCCTCTGCCTCCTTCTGCCTACATTAAACAGGTACGTTACTACATGCATGCATTGCATATGAATGTATTTGTGTGTGCCCCTTCATGTACATGCCATGTTTTTTATTTGTGAGCCTGTGTACAGTGATTGACAAATCCAATCTCCTGTCTGTACCTCCAGCAATACCAGAATGGATACCAGTATTGCTTAGTGGACATCTACCCCACCTACCTGCCCTCTCGAAATGGCCAGCCCCTGTGGATCTTTGGAGACGTCTTCCTCAGAGAGTACTACTCCATCTACGACCGCACCAACAACCGTGTTGGCTTTGCTACAGCTGCCTAAGTGTCATCAGTGTAATCTGACCACCAACCTGATCAAATAATAATGATGTCTGCTCAAACACTGTTAAGAGCCTGAATCCCAAACAACTGCTCTGGGATTATTCTAAATGATCAATTTGGACAATATGGGTTTAATTTTAATAAACGTATTCATCACTATAAATTACAGAACATATTAACATGTCTTTAACATCTTCAATTTGGTATGTAGAGATCTAGTTGTATATGTATATTCAAAACAGAAAAAATGTGTCTCAAGCAGAATAAAGGTAAAAATGCAAGTGTTTTGACATTTTATCTTTCTAAATGAGCACTCGTTAGCGTGACGAGACAGATCCTGGGCCGAGGGACATCAAAGGGATTTTCTCCACTTTATAATTTACCTTGAGTGTGTGTCAAATTAATTGCCACAACTAGTGGGCTTTTTAAATGTCCTACAATCCTGGGACACATAATGACATGTAATTAAAACTTTGTTTAAACGTCTAGAGAATCCAACAAATGTACATATGCATGCTCTTTGCTACTGAGCATATATTTAGTGTGAAATAATTTAGTCTTGTGAATAGGAAAATGCTGTGGACGTACACCGTACATGCAGAAATAGTGAAAATATTAAATCAAGCTAAATTATGTTATTTATGAGATAGACAGATTGTTGTCATTTTAGCAAACTACAGTACAGCAGACAATAGTGAACCTATGGTGACTGATTACAATTGCAACGTGACCACTGGTGCCAGACATTGTTAGACAACATATTATTTATTTATATTCAACTAGAGCATGAAGGCCACTCCACATGAATGCACACATAGACAGAGGAGACACCCAAACTAATTTTCTATCAGTCAAAATAAGAAATAATAGGAAATAGTGTCCTAACCAAACCTTGAGAAATAAGGTCACCAATGAGCTCCTTGCCAAACCAATTCTTCAGGGAAGCTGTGCTTGTAAGTGTATGTGGGTGTGTGGTTCACAATGGAAAAACACCACATCACTGCAGCTGTATCCAAGGCAGCTGACACCACCACACAAGTGGAACAAAGTCCCATTTTTTGTTCCTGGATAAAAGGTTGGAGAGTGATGGAGAAAGCAATACAGAAGACAGGGATCTATTCAGAGAAATTGAAGTGGACAAGGAGGCAGGAAGATGAGAATCATGTAGCTAGGCAAGTGGAAGTGCACTTGAGAAATAAAAATTTTTGTTTGCTTCATGGCACAAAGCAATTTTTCATGGTGACAAGAAGCAACGCAACTGATTTCTCATGAAATGCAGAAACTGCTTCTCCTGGTAAAAGGCAGAGTACAGGGCAATGGTAATGATTTATTTACACATGCAGTAGCACATTTAAAGGGTCAGTTCACCCTAATTACTTACAGACATATTTTCTCACTTAACTTTTAAGATAGTTTTGATTTTATTTGATCAGGTTTTATCTCTCTTCTTAAATCCCATCTATTTTATAGTGCTCACAACACTGAACGTTTACAATAAAAAAAAATCAACAGCAGCCTCTTTTTTCACAGATAATGTCTATTACTCTGAAAAATCCACAGAACATACTCACAATTGTAGAAAGAACAGTATAAAGTACTGTATTTCAAACTTTCAGAATAATGGGATTTCTGGAAAAAGTCCAAAACCAAAATCCCATTATGATTATTATTATGTCTTTTATTTGAACAGGGACAGTGCACAATAAAACATTAACCCTGTACATAACAGGTAGAGATGCATTGCACCAGGTTTTAGCAAATTGCATTCTGTTCCCTTAACCTGGAATACAATCTTCATGGCTACATACCACTAAAGTTATTTGAGAAAGGTTTTTCCGTAAGTTGAATAAACTGGCCCTTTGTTACTGCTTGATCTGTTTTTCATATCCTTGTCTCTTATCCCTTTGTTCTCTTCCATTGCTCCTTATTCTGCTGTATTTCCAGACTCCATTTTGTTTGTGTCCTCATCTGCTTAGTGTTGGAGTTTTCTTGTAGCTCTGCAATGCGCGTCACAACACAGTGTGGCCCCATTTCCCCTAAACTGCAAAACCTAAGAAATGTGTGTCATTGAAAATCTGCAGACACAGAAATATGCCCAGGCCAAAGGCCTCTGTCTTCTCCTTGAAGAGGGAAAACACCGACTGACTCCAGCCACACGCAGTTATACTAAGATACAGGAACACCTCCTATACATGCACATACATTTCTTCATCTTGTAATTAAGATCAACATCAGTTCCCTATTCTTCTCCTTTCCTCTTTTCTCTTCGATGTTCTATGTCCCTTTCTGAAATGAGGTATCATTCTGATTTCAGAATCTATATCATATAACGAGATGCAGCCACCACTGCAGTGTGACATTACATGTCCATGTTCCTGCTCTGTGTTTAGACAGCATCCAAGTGAGCGTGCAGTCCCTGTCACACCATGTTGTGTACCACTCGCTGCTTATCTGACACCGCATTGTGATGGCCCCTGCATTCAGTCCACTTCTGCTTGTGATGATTCTTGATAATTAGGATTTGAAGCTGAGGAATCATCCCTATACCACCCTCCATAATCATAAAGGTCCTGCATCATGTCAGTCTCTACCTATTCTGAATTGTGACATACTGAAAAAAATGAGAAACCTACCACAAGAAAACAAGTCAGCATAAAATTACCATTCACTGATGGCGGTCATGTTACTGCAATGGCACACCCAAATTTACTGCCACTGCTAAGGTTTTGCTACCATCTCTGTGTCTATTCAGGTCTTGCTACTTCTTCAAGTCTGAAAAGGATTTTCAGACTTGAACAATCTCTCCAGCCCACATTTGTCCTAACAGTTAATCTCTGTCATCTTTCATACTGTCATATCGACACACAGAAATTGTCAAACCAGCACATTGTCATTTTTGCTTGTCTAATACTTACTACTTTTTTTAGTTTTCTCATGTTTTATGGAGCATTCAAGAAAATAATTATTAGATTAATCTGTAATAAAAATATTCATTCTTTCAACCCCTAATCCTCCAGGAAGCTGCAATGTTCGGTCACAACAATGAATGCAAATTCAACCAATCCCTGTCAACTCTGCGCAAATTTTGTGCAATCACCGCAACTTTTCAAAGGATTTGACCAATCATAGCTTCCTGCACAAAACGTTGAGCCATACGTCACAAAATTCACTTTCCAATTGTGAAGATGCAGACCACACAGACATGTGCAAAGCAAACATCTCACATTTACCCTATACAGAGATTTTTTATTCTCACTGGAACAAGTTGCCTTTGATATTTAATGAATTATACAAATAAATAAGTAATTGCAACTATGCATTTTTCACTTTCTCCCAAATGCATAAACACATGTGAACATGGATTGCAATTTTTCAGAAAAACTGCCATGAACTCAAACTCACATTTTAGACCGCACAACAAAGTCATATTAAGTAAAGTTAAAATAGGAAAAAAATATTTATTATTTATCCCTAAAAATAAGGACCTGAGAAGACTTGAAAAGGACTCTAATAACAATATTAAAATAGATACAAATACAGGGGGGATGGGCAGTTGGGTCTCTGCTGCCTTTTAACCAGGAGCACCTGCTTCACAGTGACATCATCATCTTTAAAAGCCAAGGACATTTGATGTGGTTGCTACTGACTCATTAACAAGATCAATTTCCCAGGCTTATCACCCACCGTCACTCTCCAGTAATGTAGAGACACACACATACACACACCCACACGCAAACACACACAGGCACACATATGAGTCATACATTTATCCTAATGAAGCACCCTCTTTTGTCTGTGTCAGATCCAAACCTGAAGATCACGCCATTTTTGAACCAGAGGCAGAGATGATGCATCGGTTTGCTCAGAGCAGATGATTTCACGTTGATTTGGCTGGATTTGGATTAATGAAGTCATCAGATGTAAAGTGAATGCTGATAGATGGGAAATATTCACTGGCATCATATTTAAGGAAAAAAAAACCTGACGGACCGTGTAAATATGACTCGTTTAATTATTGTTAAATGGAAAAACAAAGCTATAGCGACAGCTGCTGCCAAGACTGACATGCAAAAACATGGCAAGTGTTGATTGTACACAGTGTGTGAGAGAGAGGGAGAGATAGATGAAATACAAAAATACAAAGAGAGAGACAGAAAGACAGCAGGGGGGAGGCAGAGATGGACATACTTAAGCTAAAATGAATCTGTATTTGATTTAAGCCTCTTACCCCATGGTTACCATACCCACCACCACTCACTTCCCTCCCTTTGCCTTCTCAACCTTCAAAGAGTTGGAAGGCAAAAGTGGAACATCGACTGCTAAACATATGAGATTCACAGGGAGAGGGATGGGGGGAAGGATGCTTACTGGATATTTGTAGTAGTAGTAAAATATGGATGTAATACAGCTGGGGTTTGACAGAATTATATCAAATCTGAATCTGCTATCAGATCCACGGTTGAGTCTAGGGCTGAAACTAAAGATTATTTTCATTATTTCTTGATTCATTACTTGTTCTTAAAAACAACTAAACATGTCAATCACAGTTTCCCAGAACCCAAGGCGAGATCAAAATACATCCAGTTTATTTACATAGAAGCTGGAAACAGTGATTATTTATGCCATCTATGCTAAAAAAAATGACATGATAATAAAGATTAATTATTTAAATATTTTATCTTAACATTATATAAAAATTGCTGATTTATTTTTTGTTGATCAGCTAATTGATTAATTCAATAATCATCTCACCTTTGAATCCATTTAAGTTTCATCCATTTTAAGCATCAAGATTTATGTAAAGAAATAAATCTTCAAAGAACAAAAGCTCCAATTTTGCCACATAGGTGACATATTATAGACTATATGTTATTTAGCTAAATCACAAGATGGATGTTTTGTACATTTAAAGTAAAAGAGACGAATAGTCGCGGTTTGTTGAACTCTGGGTTAAACACATTTTACCATTTATCCGAACGCAACCCTCCCTACTCACAGCCGGACAACTTCCTACCAGGCATCAATAATACTGATGCCTCAGCAAAAATACCAGAGAGCATACAAACAATCCTTTCACAAAATGTAATCAATGAATTCTAAGGTATGGATGGTTGGTTCACTATGAGGCCCACATTTTAATATGTCAGCATTTTTGTTTTAGGGTCCAGAAAAAACACAGCAGGTTATTTATTCTCAAAACCATGGCATTGGTGGAAAGTAAAATAGAGCCACCATAAACTTCTATTCACATTGATTTATTTCACCATCTTTTTATGGAACCATTTCTCTTAGTTTTGAAATATACTTGCATATTATCTTACCAATAGAAATGAAATGTTAAATGAAATGAAAAGTGCACCATATTTTATCTCCACAGATTAATGTGCATATTTTAAGGTGAGGAGAGTGCTCCCTCAGTACAGGAGAAATTATAGTCTGTCATAAATTTCTGTTGCTCAGGAGAGAAAGACGGGCTCTCTCACGGATTAAACAGTGTTAGGGTTATGTAAGGCAGATTACTGTATACCACACCATCACACCAGCAGTGGTTTCAACCATGAATCAGTCAGACACAAAAACACAGAGAAAGAGACACAACACAAGAAAACACACTCACACATGGACATGAATTACTAAACGAACAAATGTATGCACTTTTATAGAAAATACATCTACAAATACAGCCATCTCATAGGCATATGCTCCAAATACTTTTCATCGCAGTGATTTATTGGTTCTTCAGTCTGAAATCTATGATCCATACCAGACTCAAAATAAACACAATTTGTGTACTCTTGAATGCACACAAAATTGAAAAAACAGTAGAGTGGAACTGATCAGTCTCCACCCCCATTCAATTAATAGAGTGATGCAAGCAGCTGCTCTCCACATCTTCATTTTTCTTTTAACACTGGCTTTATTTTCTAAGAGTCTGAAAAGACTTAAAGTAGATTTGGAGTCGCGACACAATGTATTCAAAGCAGGTCAAAAGACTGCATAAAGAAAAGATGATCATGCTCAAGCTGTTTGCCAGCGCTGTAAATTTTAAATATTGATGTAATGGCCAAATCATTGGCTCTGTGCTGTGGACTGAGGTCATTGGTAGTCATGCAAAAAATCAGGTCAATTGATCTGATATGATCCCTCCATGAGATGAAGCTACAGTATGTAACTAAATCCCACATGAGTGCATGTTGTGGATATAAAATCCACTGGGACCTGGCTTGTTAATGTGATTGCATTCTGTAAGGATGGGACGTGTGGAGGCAGGGACAATGAAATGTTGGCATTATACATAGAGAATCTCTACTATCCTGTGAGCTTTATGCTGCTCATAGCAACATCAAACATACTTTTACTATTATTTTCCCATATTCTTTTACTTGTTTTTCTATTGGGGTATGGCAAGAGAGTTACAAATAACTGTTTTATTTTTTGGTTTATAGGATTGATTTGGTCTGTATTCAGTAACAGAGAGGAAGGCCTGGCAGCAGCAGCAGTAGGCATGAGCTTATTATACATGGAAATCATAATCAAATTAGAAATACAATTAAATCTATCACATTTCTACACCATGTTCCTATAAGCCTCCAGGCAAAAGCAGATCTGAATATTGCAGCAGCCTCCACACTATTTCATCCAAATCGCACCAAAGTGTTGCAACATTTTACCAGGCCTAAATCCAAAATAAACAATTACACTAAAGAAACCCATGTCGTGCCTTATAACATGGACAACTTTCAAGAGAATTACTGTAGCTGTGTCACAAATTCCGCACAAGTAATTGATTTCTGGTAACAGCCACTCACAATAGCATTTAGGTTTTTCAAGCGGATTTGTCGCAGAGGTCACATTAGAGGCGTTTGAACCAACATTAATATCAGTGGGACTTCCGTAAATCATTGTTCAGCATCATGCCCTTGCCTGGGCTGGACGACTCAACAGGGCGTGGGCCTCACACAGAGAGAATGCGCAAGGCGGGTGCTTGTCGCGACAGCTACAGATCAATCATCTGCCATCTATTTTGCCATCTACCCTTCTTCAATGTCTCAAATGTCTCAGAATAAAAATGAGTTGCCTTAATAAAATAGCTGTCTTTAGGGAACGTATCAGCTCCAAAACACAAACAACCGGCTGTTCAGCTGCAGCACCTATTGGCGCGCAGGGAGGCAGTTGCAGGCCTGTCAGGTTAATCAAAGTATCTATTGCTACCCATGGTAGGGAATGTGCGTTTTATTGCAGTCATGAAAACCAAACTGATACACATGTTTATCATCTTTGGCGTCCTGTCCACTCATCAACCGTGCGCATCGTCCCTCACCATCCCTCCACTGTCGCTCTACATGTAAGCTCTTACCTGCAGCCGGGGGGAGACAGGGAATGGAAAGTGGATAGGGAAAACATCTCAGCCCTGTCCGCCATCTTCTTCCACAAATGACTCAGAGCGACTGCAGAAAATCACGGATGGAGCGCAGTCCATTCACAGTCACAGGGCAGAGGACAGTCGCACCCGTGGACGGAGGTTTCTCTCTCTGCGGCCCCACAGATGCCCCCTGGCCGCAAGCCTGAAATCAGACGAGCCTGCTCAGCACCATCAAATCTGAGTCAAGCATCCACACTAGCGGAGTACGGAGGGGGGTTGTCAAGGCACGAAATTATCGTCGGAGACAGTGCACAAAACACCGAAGATTTCAAATTCAATCCTGTTGTCCCCCCGATGCGTCCGCGCGAAGCATAAGCGCGCAGTACACGACCGCAGTCCGTGTTTGTCCTCGCCAAATGTCTGCTGCCGCGATGCTGCCTGTGTCACACAGCGGATACAGGCCAGCAGTGCGGAGACAGGCAGAGACAGAGGAGGAGGAGGAGGGGGGTGTGGAGCAGAGACGATATAACGTCAGTGCAGTTACCGTACGAGCAGGCTGCCCTGAGCGGATGCAGGCAGAGCTTAGAGCCTGCAGCCTCGACAAACAGCAAAACAGCAGGAACAGTGACGATGTCCGTCAAGTGTTTAATGACATTAAGGGAAATTTGCAGCCAGAGCTAATGTGATCTCCAAACTTAGGTTCGGGGACCACCGGAGGTCCTTGGAGGGGGGGTGATCCAGGGGTTCCCCGGAAAAGACTTGCGTTTCAGTATGATTCAAGTAACTGGATTTTACAGGATTTTAAGTATGGGTCAGCTCTTGTTTATTGTTTGGCTTGTGTTTATTTTGACCCCATATTCCGCTTCTTGTGTCATCTCCCGGTGTCCATAAACGCAAAGATATCAGAGCAGGCACCGAAAGGAAAACGATAGATCAGGAAACGATCCAGAGCACAGATCAATATTAAAGCGCAAAGGCAGGCAGAATGGCAACAGTAGCAAAGATTTAAACGAAGAACTGATGAAATAAGTGCAGTAAGAAAATCTACAAGGTAAGATGCAAAATGAATTGGATGTTACATATAGAGAGAGTTTTAGTTTCACTGTGCTAGTGTACAGTGTATAAACTGCAACTTATCATGGAAATAATAATAGATGTAGTCTAATCAATTTCAAACTGGAGTGTATAGGATATGATGGAAGGTGGAAAACCACATAAAATCTGGTTATCCATATTTTCATTTTGGGCATACAATTTAACAGCCTATTTAAACTGACATGCATGTCAAAGGCAAGTGTAAGTAGAATCACCATAATACGCCTTAGAAAACATACTTTATACCTTTTATCTCCAGAAAACAGTCTTTCAGAAAGAAATGCATACAAATATCTTGTATTGAGATTGGCATAGCTTTAAGATGATCAAAGGCTGAAGGTTGCAGTTTTCCTTCCTTTCTATTTACCCCTGTATCACATCAGACTTAAGGAGGCTGCACTGAGCATGCGCAGTGCGGAGCTGTTTACTGCCTGTGGTGCTGAAGCGTATATTGCTGAGTTGCAGTTCGCCTTTTGTGCCACACGAAGGCGGCAAATGTTTACTCTCTGGGTGAAAACCTGATTAGCCCTTTACAGAACTAGTGCATTTGTATTGGCCTAAGACGTTAGGCCTTAATTAATTCACTAAATAACATGATTCACTAAGATATCTAACAAACACAAAGTGATGATGATGGACGGTAAAGCCCCTTTCAACATTACATTCAATTTTTACCAAATGCTTTTTTAAATTTATTTGGTTGTTGACTTTATGTTTACTAATAGGAAATCACTGTCATTTTCTTTACTGTATGTTCAGTGTACAGCTTAAGAAAAGTAATATTAATAATGAGTTGGTTTTCTGTAATGGTCTAGTCCAGTGAATGACAAAGGCCTTCCACACAATTGCATTTTTATTTCCATCAAATGGAATGACTAGTCTATGAAGTGAGCAGATCCATTGGTAACATTTATCATTACACAGAGGGGCAATGTAAAACGAGTTACACTTTCATCTTAGGGCCACTTTTAATATTTTTTACTGGAGCTTTTCTTTCCTTGTTTAAACTTAGCTATTAACAAGAAGCAAGTGATTAACATACAGAGAGTTATGAACCAATGAAGTATTTATTTTGATGGTCATAGTAATGGCTGGAAATTGATTTAAGTGGCCACCCTCTCTCCAATGGGGATTGGACCCAGGGTGACATCACCTTCCCATTCGAAAACTAAGGAAGAAAGACAGAAGAGGTGTTACGGTAAGCACCAGTGTGGTCATCTTTGGACACAGGAAAGCATAAGGTAATACGTTAACTCATCACGATAGTGGTAACATATTATCAACTCTGTTGTATGTTGACTGTCCAGTTTTCCTTCAAGTATCAAATACTTTAGACAATTCATTTTCATCAACATACCTTCAGTCTGGGACAAATCACGGATCTTTCTTCCAGGAGTCAACAGATCGGTTTTGCCGCCAGACCCACTTCCAGTTCCAGATCCACAGGAGCCACAAACTGCGTCAGCTCCACTGGCCTCCCTCCACCTAGGAAGAAAGGAAGATGAAAGCAGTTAAATACAGTAGGCATACCCCCAATCACACTTTTTCATTAACACACATGCACACACACAGACTCACCCAGCGGTGTAGGAACAAGCCCTATGTTCACTATCGATGGCAAAGGCAGTCGATGTTGCTCTTAAGTGGCAGGTAATGTAGAGCTGTTGGAATAATAGAGGGTTTGGGTTATTATTAGATATAATTTTGCTGCATTTGAGGTATAGTAGAAAATATAAGCAGACGCTCACCAATCCACTGTCAGCACCCTTGAACCTGAAGGCCTCCAATTGGAACTGAAGCTTGTTCTCTGCAGTGCGAGGCATGAACTTAGAGTCAGAGCCTGTGATTATAGCATCAACCAAACACCTGTATGCAGAAAAACATACAAAATAACATTGGATATGGACAAAAATGTTTTTGTATTTGTGATAAACTATTCTCACTGTACAGAACAACTTCAATTGACTTATTAAACTAACTTACCCATTGTTCTCAATGAAGGCATATCTGGGGTTGGAGGACACGTCCGGTGAAAGAGTAGCTACACATCTGTCCACATAAACACGGAGGGGCACGTGAAAGTACTGCTTGACAGTAGCCTCAAAATGAATGATGTCTCCCAGTAAGTACTGGTAACTTGGCCTCTCATATTGCCAGTCATCTGCAATTAGATAATAACATTAATCATTAACAGATCTGCAAAAGTTAAAATATACAAAACTTTGACTCACCAGTCATGAGTTTCAGGGTGAAGTATAAGAATTCCTCTGCCACCTTAACGGCAGAAAATGGGATCCATAGAGGCAGAAGAGGAAGACTGCTCACATTGTGCTTCCTAAATGATTAAAGATTTGTTTAAAGATGAATGTGCATTGGAATAGGCAAAGCAAAATTGTAAATCCATGGTTGCTGGATTTGCTTTTGATGTCAAATTGTGTTATTTATTTATATGATTGTTTGTCTGTTATTTATCTTACTAATCTACATACCTTGGGTAGTAGCATTCAACATATATGGCAGCTTTGCTGGTCCTCACCACAGGAGCACCGCCCCGAGGTTGGGGATCATAGTTCAGAACGAAGGTGTAGATGAGGGAATCTTCTGTCAACTAGCAAATAAATGAATATTAGTGCAAACAAATAGCATCATACATGAACATATTTTACCAAAGTTTTGTTAATTAATATTCATTACAATTTATTATTTATTTCTCAGTGACTGCCATCTTCATTATGCTCACCACTAGACTGCTCTCACAAGCATGCAGTTCAGCTTCAAAAATCAGCACTTGAGCATTGGCGTCCTCTGCGACAGCACCACAGGTTCCCAGCGTAAGGTCAGCAGTATTGATCAATTGGCCAATCCCAAACAAGTCCTTCTTGACTTCCACATGAGCAATCTTCTCTCTGCACTCGACGGCAACAGTTGCAGCAGGAACTGGATGTCTCAGCTCGAAAGGCACTTCGGGTTGGGGCTCAGGCACAGGATCTAGAGGGTATGTCCAGACGAGTGGTGTCTCAAATGACTGCTTTGACTGTTGAGGCACTTGAGGCGGCTGTTTGGGCTCCTGCCTCACTGGTGGTAATGGCTTCGGGTATTGAGGTTTTGAGGGCTTGTTACCAGCCCATTGAGCATCACAGAGGCTGCCAAGCAAAGTCAGTGCCACAAGGCACACTGCAGTACACTTCATCACCATTGCTTCACAACAACAAGTGAGCTGCACAGTTCCCTAGATGCTGTAAGGAAAGGTTGAAATGTGGACCAGCTTTTATAATACACTGAGCATGTTTACTTTCATTATATCCACGCCCCTTCTGTTGGCCATTCCTCATCAGACCTGATGAGTGCAAACATTAGCCAGTGAAATCATTGGAGCTGTAGGCTAAAAGGGATGTGAAGTCTCATGAGGCATCTTCAGCTGGCTTTTGATTATTCATTATTTTAATACTTACATGCGACCATACATGTATTGACTCAAAACAGTATGAGGGTAAAGTATCAAATGAAGTGAACAGTAGCATTATAGGGGTAATTTCAAAGTTATTAAAGTGTGAATATATATAATTAGTTGGAAAACATCCTCAGAAACTAGTGCCCACAAAAGTTATGCTGACCCTTGGTTAGGTCTTCCTGCCCTCAACATGACATGTCAAACACAATATTTGTCCAAAGTGCATTTTGTGAAGGGCTGTAAATCAATATGGCCCCAACCAGTATCATCTGAGATTAACCACTAAATACAAAAATAAATTGTGCCCAAATGTTCAGACAGTTTGTTTTGCAATAAGTCCAAAACCTTAAGGTGTTCTTGAAGATAAAACAAGTGGATGCAGAAAAGAAAACAAGAAAATATATATAAAAAATCTAAAATCTTAATCTTGTTTGACAAATTGCTGTGTGTCAGGTCAGTTTGATTTTATGTGAAACAATAAGTGTTTTTAAACATAAATGCCCGACTAAAGGAAGGTCATTAATGTACGTTTTGTGCTCTAAGAGTTCCTAAAAGACATTGTTTTTCACATTCACCACCTGGCTGAAATTTGATTTGATTTTAATAGTACACAATACTGCAATGCAGTGACATGACCAAAGGTTTGATTCAGGTTTTAAGAATTAATCCCTACTCTGCATCATTTAAAGATCGTGTGTTATATTAGTCTAACTGTAAAACCAGATAAATTAATTTAACAAACAAAAATGTTGAAACTGATTACATCAGGAAGTATCACAGACTACATTGTTTTGGTTAAAGAAGATTCTTGATTAAGCTGCTTTAACTTGTAATTTTAGGTGGCACTAACTGAATTTTGTAATAACTTTGTACTGGGTTGTTTTCACAGTACAATTTTTGTTTTTACAAAATTAAGTCCTTATCACTTAAAATGACTAAAGCTACTTGATCAAGAATGTTTAGTTTTTTAACTTACTTGTTTTTTTACTACAAAATTTTTATGTATCAGTTTAACATTTTTTTTTTATTAAATGGACTCATCTGGTTTTACAGTGTATCTCCATGCAATGAGCAGCACTGCTGGAACCCTTTTGCTTGTGGCTGTCTTGTTCTCCTACTTCTCCTTCTGTTCTCCAATCAATCAATTTTCTCTAAATTCTAGTTTTGACATCGTCCTAAAACTCTAGATCATCTACGGACTTTGCTTATCTTAGGATATTAAAAAAATATCTACATTTTCCATTTTACTAGCCCATCAAATTAAAATCCAAAAATCAATCATGACTCAGTCAATGCATGAAATTTGGTAAAGACTGATTAAAGTGGACTTGGCTTAATACAACCAATCTAAATGTAATATTCCAAAATTAAAAAAATCTGAATAAATCACCCATCGATTGTACAGAGCTGTATTATTTACAGCACATCCACTGAATTGTTTTGCCTCACTGAAACCTGTAGACAATTTAGAACTCCTTTACTCTATATTTTTCTAAGTCTTTATTCAAATGCTACCAAGACATTCTTTGGAAACTATTTCACATTTTTTGAACAGCGTTCAGATCAGTCAAACGGTGATTCCACAGTGATATTCACTGTCTTACTGTGATTAAAACAAATTAAAATAAATTGTCTAAATGTGTTTCTAATGTGTGCAATCTTTACAATGGTTTCCCAGCAAAGGTCCCCCCCCCCAAGTATTTTACTGAAATTCTGTGATTTAATTATTTAATTCTAGATATCTTAAAATTAATTTGAACAAGTAAAACCATTTTGTGAAATATCTTGAATTATTATTCTGTCACTCTATATTTTCTTAATCACAATGCTTTGCTAGATATAGAATATAATTACCAATAGTCATTATCTAAATATTACTAATCTATATAATCTGATGCACGTGTTTCCAGAACACTCCAGATATTCATATCGTCTTTGTAGATTTTTTCAAAGTAAAATTGAAATATCTCTATCTTTGTCTTACATATAGTCATGACTTCTCACTTTAAATATCCAAAAGCATACTTAATATATCATGACAACTACATTTAAGACATATTCAGGTGCTCAGTGTGTAGGGACATGGCTTGGGAACCATAGGGTCGCTGGTTCAAGTCCCACAGACCACAATATGGAGTGTGGACTGGTAGCTGGAGAGGTGCCAGTTTCACCTCCTGTGCACTTCCGAGGTGCCCTTGAGCAAGGCAACCTAACCCCAAGAAACTGCTCATGGGGCGCTGCTAACGTGGCAGCCCCATCACCCCACCATCTCTCTCCCTGTTGCATGTCCACAAGTGCATGATTTAGGTGGTGGGTTTTGGGTGGGTGACTGTTCTAATGGAGGCGCAGAGAAGTGTCTAAGACAGCAGCTCTGCTTCCTGGTTCCAACTGAGATGAGAAAGAGGTTAGGTTTTATCATGTTCTAAATGTCTAGCAATTGCAAATATACTTAAGATAAGAAGAGGTATTGGTTTTGTCCAGTCCTGCTGCATAAATACAGCATGGCCTGCACTTTGTAGGTCATACAGACCTAGTGAAGGTTTTTGTTTGGAAATTATTCAAATAAGCAGGAATTTCATTCAACAACAATCAGCAGCCTCTCTGTGGCAAGCATGTATGAATAGATATGAATTTATACACAAAAGTATGTTTACAATCATTTAGTATCTCCTGATGCAATACCTCTGTGAAATTGCTGTAATTTGTTCTGAGTTTATTTTTTTGGCATTATCTCAAACCACCTCCGTGCAGCACCACAAGACAAACAGTAAATAGAGCATTTGATTGGCAGTTATGGGCAGCAAATAGGATGTGAGATCAACAAGTCAGCCTGATCAATACCTACCTATAAAAGTCAGCATATTTTCACCATATTTTTCACAGCATCTGGTGTTCTTTGTGAATCACCCTGTGTTGTGAAACCATGACAATGAAGTTGTTTTGTGGTTGTCTTCTAGCAGGTGTGCTGCTTGGCTGTCTGACTGATGCTCAATATTATAAGCCCCAGCCACCACAGCCACCACAGCCACCACAGCCGCCTCAGCCGCCCCAGTGGCCCCAGAAGCCCCAGCCGCCTCAGCCGCCTCAGCCGCCCCAGTGGCCCCAGAAGCCCCAGCCGCCTCAGCCACCCCAGTGGCCCCAGAAGCCCCAGAGGCCTCAGCCTCAGACTCCGAAATACACACCACCAGCTCCTCAGAGGCCAAATGTTTCCAACAAAAAGCAAATGGACCAATATACTCAGCAGCCTCAGAAAACCAAGCAGCCTCAGCAACCTACAGAAGTATTTCACACTTGTGAAGTAGCTGAGCAGTACAAGATAACGTGTGGGGCTCCTGGCATCTCTGCTTCAGATTGTGAAGCTATAAATTGCTGCTTTGATGGACGCACGTGCTATTATGGCAAATCCGGTACGTATTTCTCAGTTCCTCACAGAAATACATTGATATCCTACTCTGACTCTTAAGGTCCTTTATAATTTGTTGTTCTCAGTGACTCTTCAGTGCACCAAGGACGCCCAGTTTATCGTGGTGGTAGCCAAAGATGCCACCCTACCCAACATTGACTTGCAGACAATTTCTTTCCTTGGAAATGATCAAAATTGCAGTCCTGTTGGCTCTACATCAGCCTTTGCCATCTACCAGTTCCCTGTCACTGCCTGCGGCACTGTCATGACGGTAAGCGTTGCGACTCATTTGGCTGTTCGATTTGATTTGTATTTATTTTTGTCAGGTAGTAACAAAGATCGAAATACTGCCAACTTACTGTAGGAGGAACCTGGTGTTATAATCTATGAGAACAGGATGTCCTCCTTTTATGAAGTCGCTATTGGAGCCTTTGGAGCCATTACCAGGGACAGCAGCTATGAGTATGTGTTTTTTGTTTGCTTAAAGTATTCAGACAATTCAGTGGTATCAAAAATATTTACTAACCTTAAATTATCTACAGTGAGTTAGGATTAGATAATTGTAATATTTTACAAGCCAAATTCCACTCAAATGGTTTTATGACTGACTGACATAGACCTTATTTCTTCTCTCAGGCTACTTGTTCAGTGTAGATATATTGGTACCACAGTTGAGGCTCTAGTCATTGAGGTTGGCCTGGTTCCTCCACCACCCCCAGTTGCAGCTCCAGGACCGCTGCGTGTGGACCTCAGACTGGGCAACGGACAGTGTATTTCCAAGGGTTGTGTGGAAGGTTAGTGTGAAGGAGATATTTTGTGCCATTAGTCTCATTTGGCAGTAACTATGTCACCAACTAATCTTTCTGCTTGAGCAGAGGAGGTGGCCTACAGCTCATTTTACACGGATGCCGACTACCCCGTCACAAAGGTACTCAGGGATCCCGTGTACGTTGATATCCGAATGCTGGAGAGGACTGATCCCAACCTTGTCTTGACCCTTGGAAGATGCTGGGCAACAACTAGCTCCTACCCTCACAGTCTTCCTCAGTGGGACTTGTTGATTGATGGGTAAGTGTAAGTGTTGGTTTGACTTGGAGATAAGCATTTCTAATACATTTTGTGATGCTATACTCAGTCCCTTTTCCTCACTCTTTCCTCGTGTCATAGCTGCCCCAACCGTGATGATCGTTACCTGACCACGTTGGTCCCTGTGGGTGCCTCACCAGATCTCTTGTACCCATCCCACCACAGCCGTTTTATTGTCAAGATGTTCACATTTGTAGCTACTGGAGCTGCCAATCCCGGCAAAGGAGGAGCTGCAGATCCAGATGTTTTTACTCCTCTCCAGGAAAAGGTAAAGGATCCAACCATCTCAGAAAGAAAGGTTTTGTTTTGTTTTTACATTATTTTTAATATCACCTTATCTACATATCTGCAAGTAATACCTGTTTTTTACTAGATATATATCCACTGCGACGTAGCTGTGTGCCAGCCCTCTCTTGGAAATAACTGTCAGCCTAGGTGCTTCAGAAAGAGTGAGTAGTACAGTATTCACTTTGATGATATAAACACGACCAATGGGGTGTTTGTTTGATGTCTGTTTCCCTTGTTTTTGATAAAGATGAATACAATAAGCTAAATAGTGTGTTTTACAGGAACAGCATAGTTTTTGGTATGAAAATCCGAAATTCTGGACATATCTAAACAGTAAAGGACATCATCTTGTGTCTGACCGCAACTGATCATTGTCATGTATTTTTCACAGGGAGGTCAATTGCTGCTTCTGCCGGGGAGAGCACAAGATCTGAGACCAGTGTGGTCAGCAGTCAGGAGATCATCATTATGGATCCAAGCTGGAATACTCAGTAACAACATCCAGGCAGCCTACCTGGCTATCATGAAATCTCTGTTCTCAAACCTTACTGAAAAATTGTTCAGCTTTAAATAAATCTCCAAGTTGCAAAATGTGTTGTCTGATCTCATGAAATATCATTCAGATACATTATTTATACTGTGACCAGAAGCAGTCTAACGAATATTAATACTGCAGAGAATACATATATATACATATATATACATATATGATAATGACGTCTTAATACATTGTGGTATTGTCATTTTACATTTCAGAATAAATTTAAACCACTGAATATATAAATTATTGGTTATGTATACTTCATTAAGCTAACAATTCGACCAGTCTGTGATTGTTTTAAATACCATTATATATGTTTTTATTAGTTTTTATGTTATAGGCTATCCAGCGGAATTGGGTGTCTTTTATTTTGAATTTGCATTTCTTTCCTACTTTTCAAAGTATTTAAAGGTCAGTGCTAGTGTTCTTTAATGTCCTCTCTTCACTCATAATCACCCCTCAGGCTATATATCCTGTTGCTCTCAAACATACCAAACATAAAGAACAGGTTATATACTAATACACACTAAAAGAGTGTAAAAATCAACCTTGAAATTTTCTCAACAATCCATCAGAATGAACACAATGTTTTAAAAGGCCCACTCCGAGGGCCAAACTGCATGTATCACTTTGTCTATTATAGTTGTAAATTCAAATAAGGTAGGCTAAGTAAAAATGTAAGGCTGTAGTATGAAATAAAACTACAAAATAAATAGGCCGGTGGTATCCCAAGCTATGGAGCCGGACCACTTTTAGTCCCCAAAAAATGAGTTTATTGAAAACCCATTCAGAGGATTAACCAAAAACCACACCATCTCAGGAGACAGTATATAGTGTATACAAAATAAAACTCTTTACGGTAGGGCAGAGACTGTAATGTACAGTGTTCAATACATCCAACGTACACTTCATTTCCCAGAAAGCTTTGTTCTGCGTACGGGAAACTGACGTGAGTAGCAGTCGCATAGCAACGACCAATGAGCTCGGCATGTGAACGGGGAAATAAATTGTGATTGGCTGTTGAATACGCCAGTTTGCCTTAGTCCAAATCACCAGTCACTGCGCTTGCGAGGAAGTCATCTGAATGTAAGATACTTTAACGGTCACTATCAACCACTCCCCCCTAATGCGATTCAGACCATCCAGCTATGGATGGCTCTTCCGGTTGAGCAGCCTCACCGGCGAACTGCGTTTGACAGCGAGTCCCGCCTGCCCTCTTAGACCGACATTTAACTCCGGTCTCCTTTTACTCTTCGCCCGGAAACTCACGATGCAGTCGAGTCGAAATGTAACCAGCAGCAGTTGCGATGAAGAGGGCTTGGGCGGAGCGGATAAAGCGGGGCCGGGGCTTCTCAGCAGCATTCCTGCTGTTACTACCACAGCAGACACGGGTCCTCCGGCGGAGAAGAAACGACTGGGACACACGCTTGTCGTTAACGAGCGGAAGTTGAGGACCCCGAGTCCCCTGTCCGGGGCCAACTGTGATGACGACTCGGAGGCTGAGTCTTTCCGGGATGGGAGAACCGAGGAGGTGGACCGGGACACCAGGGGCAGGGCGTTTGCGTGGTGCAGAGACTTTCTGTCCGGGTCGTGGAAAACCATCAAAGAGGACGATTTTCAAATCAGCATCGTCAGGTAAAAAAAATAAATAATGTGAATTAACACCGTTTGAGGATAAACGCATGTCCATAGCAGAATCACTTTGTATACACACTATAGCTGATGTGTAGGGGCGACTATTGTGTCTTCAATAATACCTCCATGTCCTGTGTTATTGTTGCTGTCATTGACTTGTTCTGTCATATTTGTTGTAATATCCATATTGGATCCCTTTAACACTGTAGGATGACCATTTATTTCTGTAAGGAACCCTTTAACCATCACAACAGATAAAACAGGGTGGCAAAATAGTTTTGTGTGTGTGTGTGTGTGTGTGTGTGTGTGTGTTGATACTAAACATGGTACTGTTTGAAGTTGAGACAAGGTTAAACATACAGATCATTTTAAGCTAAATCTACTGGTATTTTCTGACTAATATTTATTATTTATCCTTAATTAACCCCCTGGGGATCAATAAAGTCATTCACTATCTATCTATCTATATTTATGACTACATTCTGTGGGGTCATGTTAACTTTGCTCAGATGTGATAACACTGGTGTTCTTGTGTTACAGTGGTGGATTGAGTAACCTGCTGTATCTGTGCAGTTTGCCTGACCATGTGCACTGTGTGGGAGAGGAACCCCGCCAGGTACTCCTCAGAATCTATGGTGCCATCTTACAGGTTGGTCTGTCTTGCAGTTATTTGTTCATGAATGTGTGTGGCTGCAAGAGGAAACGATTATTATCCATTACTGCACCCAATCTACTAAAGCAATATCACTGTCCTTCACATGGAAGTTTGAACCAAAACCAAAAACATAATCAAACTGTGACTGTCTCTCTTTCTGTGATGCAGGGAGTGGACTCCCTGGTGTTGGAGAGCGTGATGTTTGCCATCCTGGCAGAGCGAATGCTTGGGCCAAAACTTTATGGCATCTTCCCTGATGGACGCTTAGAACAGTACCTTCCGGTATAATGCACACACATAGACACACTGTGTGTCTCTCCTGGAGGTCATTGTGTTAAGCATACAACATTCAGGGTCAAACTATAATGTGTAGCTTCTACTGAAATCCTTCTTTGTGCTTTGGTTGTCTATGTACTGGCATCATTTCTGTGTGATTTAAAGGTCCAGGTGAGCCTAGTTCCTAAAGTAGAGGAAGCATTTGTAGAATAAGTCATTTCTTTGTGTCTTTGTTTTCCCAGAATACCCGCATGCACACAGAACAACTTTCAGATCCATCCATCTCAGCTGAAATTGCCACAAAGTTGGCACGTTTTCATGAAATGCTTATGCCCTTTAACAAAGAGCCTAAGTGGCTGTTTGGGACCATTGACAAGTAAGGACACCTTTATATCACTCTCTTTCTTCTAGTAGGACTGTCTGTTTTTTAATTATGAAATATACTGTCTGTTTTTTTCCTTTTAGATACATGGATCAAGTGATGAAGCTTCATTTTGTACGTGAAGCACATGTGAAAAAGTACAAGAAGCTGATGAAGTTGGACCTGCCTGCTGAGCTGGAGAGCCTCCGGTGAGTTGGGACACAGGCCTCAAATGGCCAAATATTATATAGTGTATGGAGTGACTTTATATATATGTTATTCATAAATACTAAAAGTTGTAGCAGGTAGGGTTATGTAATGTCTGTACAGTTAAACCTCTAGCATTCCCTCTCCTCTCCACCCACCAGTGTCGAGAGTTTTCCGGTCTGTTTTAAAATGACTTTGAAGGGAACGGTGATGCAATCACTATTGCATAGGCCAAGTGCCCTCTAGATGCTGTTTAGTCAGAGCAATCTCATATTACCTACTGTAACTTCCATTTAGACTTCAGACAGAGTGGCTGGCTAGCCTGTACAACCACTCACATTTGAGGGACACCACCAAAAACCTCAAGAATGTTTGACTTATCATCATGTCCCAGATGATGAGAAGAAGACAGGAGAGCACTGATACACTGTGTATATATCTTAGCATATTCACATCACACTGTTAATACTGTATATATCTTTGCACATTTGTATGTACCACTTGCTATGGGGAGGTGGATCGTGAGGCAATTAAAAATTGTCTCATCTATCAGAATCGTATTTGTCGGAGCTTATAAATTCCTTTTATTGATGCCAGCACATTTTTTTTCCGACAGTTGCACATTGCAAAACAATGATGTCAGACTTGCTTCTATGCTGCTGGAAACTTGCAACAAGAAGGAGTCATGGCGTAGAAGAAGAAATGTTCCAAAACGTGGCTTCATTTCACAAAGACAGACAACAGTGCTAGTTGTATTGTCTGTAAAATTATCATTTGAAATAAAGGTGGAAACACCAGCAGTATGCTGAAAAATGTTTCAGCACAGCGTAGGCTTAAATTCCAGGAATTCCATGTATTTGACACTTTTGGCACCACGACTGCCACGGCTTCCCAACTGAGCAGCATGTCCGTTACCATGGGTAAATCTAATGTAATCTAATTAAACAATTAAATGGGTGTATGCAGACCCTCTTGTTTGCCGATGAGGCTACAAAGTAATCCTGCAGACGTGTTTGGTCTGCATATAAATTACTTTTGCTGACACAATGTCACCTTACAGCATAAAATTTACCTACTGGGAATAAAACAGTGTTATTTCTATTATTAAATAGTTTTTGTTGTCAAGTTAGATTAATGGTGCAACTGGGTTTGCAACAGCAAGGTCCTAACTGGTGACGAAAGGTAGAACAAGTACAAATACATTATGTCCTCACCACCAGATGAGATAAGACCATGACAAGATAAGACCACTGAACTGTATTCAGGTATTAAAAATCATGCAACAGTAGCAGTAAAATTAGATTAATACTTATTGATAGATTGCATGTTACATAAATAAGGCTATAAGGATTATAGTTGGACGTTACGCACAAGAATTGAATCTTGGTGACAGCTGTATTTTTGTTTACAGTCTAATGACCGACCTTTGTCCCAGTGCCTCCACAACTTCACAGCTGAGTCCTCTTCAGCCCGGTGGTTATTATCTGTGTTTATCTATGAAGAAATTTGTTATCTTATAGATATGTACCAGTCTCGCACTGAAGCAGACATCCAGTAACAGCCACTGCTTGGAAAATACCCTGGCCTTCTGCTGCAGTCATCTCAAGTCCTTAAATTTATCTGAGCTGATAATATCTCTTTTGCTTACACAGATAGAAGACTTCGAGGTACTATTTTCTCAGCTTGTTCTAGGTCATTCACTCAGTCAGAGTGACATTTAGTTTTTTTTCGTTCCATTTTCAGGAATGACCCCCCCCAGAATGTTCAGGATTTCCATTATATACTCCCAAGCTCTCTCGAGAGTTTAACGCATCTTTTGCCACTTGTTCAATGAGCAGTACTTGAGCTTTCTCAATGACACACACTAAGAACATATTGAGTGTTCTGACTGTGTTCAGACACTTTGAATCGCTTAATA